AACCTATAGTACATAAGACTTAGGTAGAATTAGTCTTAGGATGACTAATTCTATTACATATCTTTGGGTGCAAATTACATTGCCAACATTTCAAATAATGAAAATTTTGTTGACTTACTCTGGAACTTTCTAGAAGGAAAAATATGACAAGAACTATGTATGAAGTATCAAAAACAAACATTATAACATCAAGGTTTTCTGAAATTTTTCTTTATAATTTTCCCTTGTTCAAATTACCTCTGTGTTGGGATCATGTTGGGTTCAACATTAAGGTCACTTCAACAAACACCGGTATTTGGTGCCCTATATGCAGTGAATTCTATAAGCTCGGAATATAAGCAGTAACCCCTGGTGAAGGCAATAAGGGGTGCATTGTTTGTAGAAAATTTAAAAACAATAAAATCCACGTAGTTTTTTTTTTATTATCAGTATTATTGGGCAAAGACTTCTAGCTTGGTAAACTACTGCCAATTTAGGCTCAAAAATACTACATAGCCAATACATTTGAGATATTTATTGCAGAAGGCTCTCATTCTCACCTTTATTTTAAATTTTTAAAAATATAAATGTAGGGAGTGTGTTACCAGTATTAACAAAGGCAGCCTACAACCTAATTTCAAATGTAAATACATATAATGAATATTTTTTAAATTCCATCAAGTCACGAGAAGAATTGTGGACATATGTGACTTTCTATTTGAACCTTCAGATATTAGTACCCCAGTATTTTAAAGTCACAAGTATGTGCCTAAGAAAGTAATTGAAAGATCAAAACAAGTCATACTTGCATTTAATGTTTGGGAATTTGTGTTTTTCACAGAACTGAACCCACACTAAGTATCTGACTCCATTATAATTCATTCTAAGACTTAAATATAAGACCTTTATTTTTTCAGATAGGGCACCTATTCTCAAATAAGCATTCATAACTTTATTAACCTCGAATGATATAAAATAAGGCAATGCTATTGGCAATATAGGCTATGTAATTGAAAATCATCTGTATATGTGCTGATTCTTTGGATCATGAAAGTTCATGAAGATGTGAAGAATTGAAGACACGCTCCCCAGATTAAAACCCAAAACAACATTAATAAAAGAAATTAATATTTAAGTACAAAGGCAGGCTGAGGAGTATAGTTTAGTGGTAGAGTGCCTATTTAGCCCAAACACTGCAAAATAAGAAATTAATAAAAGCACATGCTTGTAATCCCAGCAACTCAGGAGGCTGAGGCAGGAGGATTATAAATTGAAGGCCACTTGAAAAACTTTGCTTTTTATTTTGAGGCAGGGTCTTGCTTCAAAATAAAAAGCAAAAAGGGCTGGGGATATCACTTATGGTAAAATGCCCCTGGGTTCAATACTCAGTACAAAAAAAGAAAGAAAAAATACAAAAACATTTTTTTCATCAATGTTTCCACCACCAATTGTTCCCATACTTATTAGAATTCTCCAACTCTGTAACTCTCTAGTTAGGGAAGGAACTAATATTTTATAGAGGCAGATAGTTTTCCTTTCCAATGCTGTTACAGGTAGAGAATAAAAGGACATAACGAACCAAGAAAAGCACAAACATTTTATGTACATGCAAAAAATACAAACACAGTGACAAAGTGTTTAATGTCAAAAAGAGAGCAAAATCTGTTAATAGCTGTGTGTGCATACATGTTGTTTTAAATATGKATATTTATTTTATTAAATAATTGCCATAGCAGGGATTGAAACCAAGGGCACTGTGCCACTGAGCTACATCCCCAAGACCTTTTTATTTCGAGGCAGGGGTCATGCTAAATTGCTGAGATTATCCTTGTACTATGATCCTTCCATTTCTACCTTCTGAGTTGCTGTGAGTTGCTGAGATTACGGGTATGTACCACAGCACCCAGTTATTATATTAAAAATAATTTTATTTGCCCCAAGGGAGGTACCTTATTTTTTTATTTATGTGTATATAAGTAGTATTTTTATCATAGTATATAAAAGATAYATATTTAACCAAAGCAGGGGGTAAAATCATATCTTTGTTACTTTACAGTCAGATTCACTTGTGCATTATCAAATCAAATCACTGCTTTTCTTGCTTTGTTAGTGAGAAAATGTGTTTTTATTTTCATAGTTAAAATAAATATGTGCTAATTTCTTGGGAAAGCAGGATTCTAGTATCAAAATACATTCTTATAGGATGAATTATTTATAATTAAGGCATTGCACATTAATCTTATAAGAAATTTATAATTAGAACTTTCATTAATATATATACTAATAAACATATAATTGCTATGCTTTGTTGAAGGCACTGGCCTTTTGCCATAAGACTGAAAAAAAATATATATATATTATTATATATATCATACAAACAAAAGGAAGACTAGCTGAAAAACAGACTGTGAGACTTCAAATAGTCTCTGGTAAAAATAAAATTTCCAAGTTAGTTTGTAAATTAATTGTTTGAAACTTGAACAGTTTTTCACTGGGCCAATGTTATAAACTGTTCAGTTTCCAGATAAGTCCACAGAAATCTACTTAACCCATAATTTAAATAAATTTTAGGACCTTGCTTAAGAGGTAAACTATTCACTTATTTAGAAGTTTGTTGTCTTTCTTTTCCTGAGGAACAGGTATTTAGCAAATTGGACAAAAAACTCCAGTCCCYAGAGCTAGCAACTAGATAAAGGCAGAAAGCCTTAAGTGGGCACAGAGTGACAGTTTGGGTCTTGGGAGAGATGGTCAGGACAACACAGAGTAAAATACAAAAAAAAGTCTGTAACAGCATCAGATAAGAAAAAATGGATTCAACAAGAAGTGGGTAACTCTCATTGGGTAGGCATCTGTTGAGTCAGGGTGGTGTTACTGCTGTCCTCAAATATTAATTAAACTAAGAAACTCAAATTTGGATTACAAGTAAAAGTTTGGAAAAGAAACAAAATTTGCAGGTCATCAGAATGGAATGTTGCCTATAACGAAAAAAAAAATATGGTGAAAAAGAACTGGTTGGATAAATTGTTCAGTTCTTAATTCTAAACATGATGAACAAAAAGGCTGAAACAGAAAATGCAGCAAAAATTTCACTTACAAATTTACAGTCCCAATGTTGTTTGGTCTGCCTGTTTGAAACTCCTGATGAAGTAGGTTGTAGAGAAAAGTCTCAGACTGAATCCCATCAGATAATTAGCTAAGGATCCTTTGACTACATTTCAGGCTTTCCAAAACAGCCTCCATGTGACTAGATATGTCACAATCAATGTTCTTTTCCTGAAAGTGCTAAAATAAATGTTTTTGTATTCTTCTATCATTGTCTCTCTCTTCCATGTAACTGTATCTTTTCTCCCAATTTTGGTAGCATAAACAAAAGACATGTCAAATGCACACGGCAGGAGAAAGATGAAAATTTACATTTCATAATATTAGCAAACCAATAATATAACACTATAAACAGACAACAATTCTAGAAAAAGAACAGAGATTGTTTTTTAAAAATCAAGACTGATCACTTAACTTCTGTGGGCTCTGACACTAAAATCAACTTTAGTCCATAAACCTGGCAGGTTGTCTTAGGCTACAGACTGTATTTTGGCAAAAAAGTTCATCTGTGCCAAAACATATGCAGCAGAAACACAAGAAATATTTATCTGGATCTTTTAAAAACAGCAATATATTTTTATATTAATATATTAAGGATTATTGTATCATAACATGTTTATAATACACTTTTATATTAAATAATAGCATACATTTGAAGGATAATTTAGTCTATTAGTTTTGTTCTTCCAATATACCTGGAAAATAAAAAACAAATAAAATATGCCTGAAAAAATTGAAGTATATTTGTAAGTGGGAATATTTAAGTGTTATCAAGTATTGTAAAATGTGTTTATTTAATTATTGTGGAAATGTAAATTAAAACTCCCCCAAATATACAATCCTCCCATTCTTCCTTTATCTGCAGAAGAACTAATGAGCTTGAGCTTTACTTTTAACAAGTTAGAGAAAGGAATCTTTTTACATATCTACTATATTAAAATGTCTATCGTTAAATGACTAAGTTTTTAAGTCACTAGGTTTCCTAGACACTTCAATGGAATCAGCAGTCATTGATCCAACCCCAACTCCAAGACTGGAACGTCGTAATGATAGTTCCAAGGCAGAAATCTGACGTAATTCTTTACGACACAATTTTACAGGTGTGATACCATGAAGCTGTTCCACATTTCCCACTGGCTGAATTTGGGATGATGGTCGACTGTGAGATTTTGTAAACTGATATTCATCTGTTTCTGTTTTATCATCATTGCTTAACAGTTGCCCACTAGACGGTGCTAAAGAGCTAAAAATAGAAGGTAACTCTGGGGCATCTTCCCAAAGTTTTTGGGAATTTGATTGTGTTCTTAAACTGCTTGAAGAACTGTTTACTTCTCTTTCTCTTGCACTTAATTTCATACTTTCAGTTCTGGATGCCCATTTTAATTCTTCTGAAATCACACCTGCCTCTTCAGGGTTCAGGACTCCATCTCCAGCATCATGATCTAAAAATAATCCCAAAACCAAAAATTCAGAGATCATTTCCTTCAAATCAGGTATTTTAATCATAATATCCTAACATAACTACATTAATATTTCTCACTATGCTTGTTGTTTGTTTAATGTTTCTTTTAGACACACAATGTGTGAGTATTAATTATTCCACTTATTCCCTGGAAAACTTGGAATCTCTCTATTTGTGTTTCCATGCCTGCCCTCTGCTTAGCTTGTTGCTAGAAAATTTCAAATCCAGCCAAGTGAAAATTTCAAATCCAGCCTCTGTCCCTGGAGGCATACTTCAGGGACTTGGCATTAAATGTATAAAAAGCTGGTCTTTGGTTGGTTCTCCCAGCATGACAGAAAGGTTCTGATATCCAAATGTCCTCAGGGTTGTGTGCCACAACTTCCACGATGGAAATGAAGATGACAGTATACCCTCTCAGTAAGGAACAACCACTGGAATGAGTGATTAGAAGTAAGTGAAAAGACCCAGCTATCMTACTCYTTGGTTTATACCCAAAGGACTTAAAATCAATGTTTATAGAAGCTCAACTCACAATAGCTAAACTTGGAACCAACCTAGGTGTCCTTCAACAGATTAATGGATAAAGAAAATGTGGTATATATACACAATGGAATATTATTCAGCTTTAAAAAAGAATGAATTTATGGCATTTGCTGGTAAATGGATGGCACTAGAGAATATCATAGTAAGTGAAATAAGCCAATCCCAAAAAAAACAAAGGCAAAGTTTTTTTCTCTGATATGCAGATTCTAACTCACAATAAAGGTGTGTGTGTGKGGGGGGGGGACTAGGGAAAAACAGAGTTACTTTAGGTAGAGGGGAGTGAAGGGAGGGGAGGGAGTAAGGGGGTAGGAAGGACAGTAGAATGAATAAGACATTATTACCCTATGTACATATATGACTACACGACCAGTGGGATTCTGCATTATGTACAACCAGAAAAATTAGAAATTATACTCCATTTATATAAAATGTATCATAGTGCCATGTATCATACTTTCATGTATAACTAATTAAAACAAATTTTAAAAAAGAAGTGAAGAGATCAAAGCTTAGAAATCGTCTAATCATAACATCTATCATCAAAGACAAAACTTGCTTAAGAGAAATACATATAGGTACTAAATCTAATATGATGAATGCAAACTTCAACATATGACAATACATACTTAATATACTTTTAGTTCTTTGAAGACAAAGTTGCATAGTGACAGACCCCAATTCAAATCTGACCCCCACATACATTTTATTTGGTCTTTAATGTTAATAATTCTTGATACAAAATTTTAAAATTAGAGTTTCATATAAAGTATAGATTCTCAACTTTTCTACAAAAATTAGAAGAGCTAAGAATTTCTGCATAGCAACAGTAGCTGAAAAATTGCCCCTACTCATATAGATGACAACTGTAAAGCCCTCTAATTCTCTTTGGATTCCTGGTTCCTATAGACATTCTAGCTTGTAACCTTGGTTTAAAACATTGATTTTTCAGGTTTTGAAGTCCCTCAAAAACAAAAAACCTGAACTAATAAATGACATAGATCCTCAAATGGAACTAGAGCAGATAACAAGTTGATCATAGATAGTGGCCCCAAACTCTAATGTTGCACATTAGGGTTACCAAGAAGCTTTAAAAAATTCTGCTGCCCAACTCAGAGTGTCATTTTACTTGTAAAGATTTTATGTGAAAGAGCAGAAATGGGCCCACTGCCGAGGCTCACTCTCGGGTTCACTTGGATTCTTTATAATAGGAAGTTTCCCACTTGCAAGTTTAAGTTTCCCATTTAAAAATGAAGAAGCAAAACTAGGGAGAGATTAATTTTCCCAAGTTCACACAACTAGTAGAAGTTAAGATTTAAGGGCTGGGGGTATAGTTCAATGGTAGAGCATTTGCTTAGTATGCTTGAGGCTCAAGATTTGATTCCCAGCGTTGCCAAAAAAAAAAAAAAAAAAAAAAACCAAAAAAACCAAATAACCCAAGCTAGGGTTCCTTATCTTTTTAATATTTTTTTTAGTTATTGATAGACCTTTATTTATTTATTTATTTATTTATGGGCTAAGAATCAAACCCAGTGCCTCACAAATGCTAGGCAAGTACTCTACCATCGAGCTACAACCCCAGCCCAGGATTCCTTATCTTATATATAGTTTGATAGTGATTTAAATTGGTACAAGAATGGTATTAAATACTTAAGTGGAAGTGGAAATACTGAGTGGCCATATAAAATTTTATCCTCAAAGTATGTTAAAAAACATTAACATCATAACTATGACCAACAATTGACCAAGATATTTTACTTAAAATTAATTTTTCTATTTGGAAAAAAGTTAAAAGAAGATAAATGTAAGTCTCATAGGCAGACAACAGAGACTACTATTAAAACCAGTGAATTAAAAGTGGGGTACAGTGGTTTATGCCTGTAGTCCCAGGTATTCTGCAGGCTGAGGCAATAGGATTGCTTGAGCCCAGGGGAAATACTTAAGCCCATAAGTTTAAGGCCAGGTTAGGCAATATAGCAAGAGCATGTCTCAAAAAAATAAAAAGAAGACATTTCGGGGAACTCAGAATTTGATATATTTCAATTACTATATGTTATAATTCAAATAGACTTCATTTAATGTTATAAAATTATATCTTGAGATAGGATATAACATAAGCTCTATCCTTAACATCACTGAAACTATTTTTAAAACATGGTGAAAATAAGAAAATAATTATGCTAAAATGTAGGTAGATTTATGGATGATTTGTTTTCTGCGTTTTCAAAAATTTCTATAATGACAATGTTACATAATGACATGTTATAGCCAAAAACAGTATTTAAAATTTTTTTAGGTAGAATGGCAAATTAGCGAAATAATACGTTCAACATTATTATCAAGACTAGACTTCTTGGGCAAGTTGGTCAGATAGGTGTGTGTTAGATAGGTGTGTGTTGCATTTTGCACCTCCCCAAGATTATTCAACTTTATTTTAGTTTTTTATTGTTTCCTTAAAAGACAGAATGAGGGGGGCTGGGGCTGTAGCTCAGCCCGCAGAGTACTTGCCTAGCATGCATAAGGCACTGAGTTCGATCCTCAGTACCACATAAAAATAAACAGATAAAATAAAGGCATTCTGTCCATCTATAACTACAAAAAAAAAAAAAAAAAAAAAAAACCAGAACGAGAATCAAGGTTTCTGAAATCTGTGTACCACCATACCACTCTGTCATTTTTTAGAAAAAATGTCTAGTAGACTCAGGAGTATAAACATGGGCCATTTACAAACCAGAAGTCTAATTTCAGTTATCTCAAAATTGAAAGTGGGGGATGGGTCTGTGGCTCAGTRATAGAACACTTGCCTAGCATGTGTGAGGCACTGAGTTCGATCCTCAGCCACCACATAAAAATAAATAAATAATATAAACGTATTGTGTCCATCTACAACTAATAAAATATATTTTTAAAAAATTGAAAGTGGGTGAGCTTCTTTTGTTTAAGTGATGGGGATTGAACCCAGGGTCATGTACATGATAAGCACCTTGTACATGATAAGCTACCACACTTAGCTACAGAGTGGGTTTTTTTAAAAGGCTAAAATGGTTTTATGTTAATTGCTTTTTCTTTGTTATTTAATATCTGTTTACTTTTTATTTAAGAAATTTTTTTTTCARTACTGGAGAATGAAGCCAGGAGTGTTCTCCTTCTGAGCTACATCTCCAACCCTTTTTAACAATGTTATTTTGAGACAAAGTCTTGCTACGTTGCCCAGACTGGCCTGGAACTTAAAATATTCCTATCTCAGTCTTCTAGGAACCTGGAATTAGAGSCATGTGCACCTGGCACTTTTTAATTTTTTGCAAGTAATATTTCAAGTAAAAGTTTTAGTTACATATTTCAGGTATTGTTTTTAAGTAATGAGTTGTATAAATAAGCACCTCTGTACTACTACATTGAGAATCAGAAAGTTTAGTCTCCTTAGAAGGATTTGTATGTTTGTATCATATCTCTCTGTATCTCTGTCTCTGTCTCTCTTTCTCTCTCTCTCTCTCTCTTTTTTTTTGGGAGGGGGGATACCAGGGATTGAACTCAGGGGCACTCAGCCACTGAACTACATCCCAACCCTATTTTGTATTTATAGACAGGGTCTCACTGAGTTGCTTAGTGCCTTGCTTTTGCTGAGGCTGGCTTTGAACTCATGATTTTACTTTTTAGTTGTAGTTGGACACAATACCTTTATTTTTTAATTTATTTTTATGTGGTGCTGAGGATAGAATCCAGGGCCTCACACATGCTAGGTGAGTACTCTACCGCTGAGCCACAACCCCAGCCCAGCATATATCTTTTCATTGCATATATTTTTTTCACTGAACCCATCTTCTGTGCCCATCTTTAAGCAATTTCATTTAAAGGTACAAATTAGGTCTATTACTGAAATTAGTGCTTTATAATTATATATAGGGGCTCATTGTGACCTATTCATGTTTGCCTACAACATAATTTATTCCAATTAATTCCCCAGTATTTCCCCTTTCTCTCCTCTTCCTAAAAGGTTTTATTTCTAAAAAAATTTTTTTTAATTGTAGTTGGAACCCAAAACCTTTATTTTATTTATTAATTTTTATGTGGTGCTAAGGATTGAACCCAGGGACTCGCACGTGCTAGGTGAGCACTCTACAGCTGAGCCATAACCCCAGCCCCTTCCTAAAAGGTTTTAAGGCCAATTTTTCATCAACCATTCTTAAATTGTTAGAATATGCTCCAAAGCAGAATATTTCTTTTATAAAATATAGACTGTTATTTTAGAAATATTAACTCCTCTTTATTTTGCTGACTTGAGGGTATATTTTAATCATAGCAATATATTACCTTCATAGCATTTCTTTTTACAGAATATTTTTGTCATGTTTGATAATTTCATTTATGAAGGTGCTAATTCTACTTATCTATATATAACTATGCAAAGAAACATCTTTATCTCAACAATGGATTTTATTAATTTTTTTAATTTCCAAAAAGGCCAGTATATAAAAAGCTTTGATTTATCTTAGAATACACACACTTTTAACTTTACTTTTTGTATTATCCATTGTATTATACATATTTTTTATGATAATGGAAGGCTTAATTTACCATAAAACAGGAAAATGACAGCTATCTTAAATTACAGGGTTACTTTAAGGATTAAGTGAGTTAAGGACTATAAACAATGGCACAATGCARTCAATAAACAATCAAGGTGGTGCATGCCTGTAATCCAATCGGCTCAGGAAGCTGAGGCAGAAGGAGGATGAGTTCAAAGCAGCCTCAACAACTTAGCCCCTAAGCAACTCAGTGAGACTCTGTGTCTAAATTATATATAAAAAAGGACTGGGATATGGCTCAATGGTTAAGTACCTCTGGGTTCAATTCTGGGTACAAAAAAAAAAAATTGCTTCCCACAGTTTTAATGGGTATTATTTTATAGTTTATAGTTTAGTTTACAGGCCCTGTGTTGAATCCCCAGCACTGCAAAAAAATATATATATTTTTAAAAATGTAAAATACAGAACTTTGTATTTTACATTTTAAAAAATATTTTAGATAGTTGCACTCCTCAACTGTTAAGAAAAATAAGGAGTTTGTAGTGGCAATATACAAACAGTTCTTGAAGTAAAATGAGTAGTTATATAGACACCATTTACTTTGCAGCTGATAACTGTATTTCAGAGATTCATCAATCCATTAAAGAATTAACTCCAGCATTTATAGTCCACAAGATTATCTGTAGCAACCTTTATTTGGAGTTAATATGTCCCTTTGAAATATTACTTCATTCAGCCACATCAAACGTGATCTAAATGTTCTAAATGTTCTCCATGATGAATAAACCTTTGACAGCTGAAAAAAATAAATTTTAAAAATGACTATCTCCTTTACACATATGTATGTGTTCTGTCATTCATTCTTTCACTTCTCATGGGGTTCTGTCTTATACATGGTGAAAAAACTAGTTTTGTCCAGAGAGACAWAGAGAAGTTAAATGTCTCATCCTAAATAACCCAGTCACGGGGAAATCAGCATGATCTCACCAAATGCTAGAAAAACAGTGTTTGCATGACAAGTAACTAGTCTTACGTTCTGACAATGCTAGTTGCCATTGAAATGCTTCCCGTGTCAGTTCTTTAAGTTTCTTCTTAAGATCCCTGCTGGTTTTCTTATAGAAATAAAGATCTTTTTCCAATTGCTGAATTTTATCTTCATATGTTTTAAAAGTTTCTATAATGCTTTCTCCATCTTGTTCTATAAAGCAAAAATTTATAGTTATACTTGGTTTTAAATAAATGATTCAAAATTATATTTTAACTTAGCCCCAAACTATCTTTAAAGGGTCACATATCTATTACTTTACTTTAGATTTGTTTTCAGTTACAATTTGGATTCTTCTGCCCATAACATTTTTTTAAAAGACTGAGCCCTTAATCATTTTYTCCACCCTACCCTCAACAACCTCTAACTATATGTTTATAAGTCTGCATTTTTTTGCAGTTCATATTAACAAGACTTATCCCTAGAACAGAAGAAGTAGGTGTTTCCTATAAAAAGTTCACTTTTGGAACTCTGTCCACAAGCTGCATTAATATCTTAAAGTTTATATCAGACATTGTGGTTATATGGAAAGTCTTAAGAGGCCCTAAGAAACATTTTTTTTTTTTTTTGGCCTTAAGAGCCTAAAAAAACCCCACCAACACCACCACCCCACACCCACACCCACACCCACACACACAAAACGGACTAGAGAAAGATAAAATCACAAAAGAAAACACCACAGGAAAAGAAGGTAAATAGCCAGCATAAGTTCTAGTTTATGCCAAAATATAACTTAAAGCCTCTAATTACTACTTGTGAATGTCTAACACTGTTCTAGAACAGTAAAATCTAGTATACTGCTTTCAGAAGATACATACTTTTGGATTTACTCAGGAGATATATTTATAAAATGGTCCTACTATTTGTTTTTGTTAATATCAGCTGTTTCCTAAAATTTTATTTAAGTATGCTTGTATAGTTTATCTTGTTATAACAATTGCTTAATGATATCATAAATCAGARTCCACAGAAAGTAGGGCTGGGGATGTAGCTAAATGGTACAGCACTTGCCTAGCATGCATGAGGCCCTGAGTTTGATCCCCAGCACTGCAAAAAAGAAAAAGAAAAAAAAATCTCCATGAAGTATGAACTTACATCTAATTCAGCTGAAATTAGAAAACTCACGGATTGTTAACATTTTTAGTTACAACTTTGTTATGAAAAACTTGTAGTTATAGAAATTAATGATTTTTAAAATGTCTTTATTTGACTATGGCATGAACTTTTGATGTATAATCCTTGTCACTTTAAAATTCTCTGCACACATCACTTTTAGAGACAACAGAACTAAATTAAGGTAAGGAGAGCATGTTTGAATGCAATAATGATGTTGGGATCCTGCCAAGGAAATCCTGTCATTAGTCAATTGGTTGCTAATTAACAATTATAGGATTAATTTCAAGGTAAGCTGCCTCAACACTTAAATTCAAATGTTCTCCAATTTTCTTCTTCCTCAGGTTGTTATTTCTTCCAGATCCCTTTTGACCCATTTTCAGCTGTGGATTCATGAGACTCAAGAACAGTAACATTATCACCGGGCAGTGATTTTGTTGCCATGGCAGCTGTTTGTGTACTGGCCATATACCCAGGTAATGTGAAGTCCACTTTTTGGGACAGCTTTTTTCTTTCTTCCTTTTTCTTCTTTTTTTGTACTGGGAACTGAACCCAGAGTGCTTTACCACTGAGCCACATTCCCAATTCTTTTTATTTTTTACTTGGAGATTGGGTCTCACTAAATTGCTTAAGGCCTTGCTAAATTGCTAAGGCTGGTCTTGACCTTGTGATCTCCTGCCTCACCCCCTTGGGAGTCGCTGAGATTACAGGTGTGCACCTTGTGCCTGGCTATGATAGTTTTCTTTTTGCATCAGAGATGACAGTTGAACAGATACTCATTGATAACTGTGCCTATCAATAGTAGTCTAGTTTTGACCTAGGATACATATCCTCCTTAATGCATAAAATTTTACAATCAACTGAAAATTACAAGAAATATAACTAAGAATGTGACAAAACCTATCACTTTAATTTTGTGAAAGTAAAATAATTAAAGTATCATAGTACTATATTCCTAGTATTCCTAGGAGATAGAAAAATTTTAACTCTACACTTAAAAGCCAGACAAAATCTCCACATTTCAACATAAAAACTAAACCAACAACAAATAGGATTGTGGTGTGCCCTAATGGGGCAAGCAGAAGGGATGGCATTTCAAGCATGAATAGCCTCGTATCAACTTCAGCTATCCCGAAACATAGGACCAAAACAGGTAAAGGGCAAAAATTTGTGCAAGTAGTRACTGCTTATACATTGGACTATTAAGAAATAAGTTCTGTCTCATTTTCCTTCTTAAATATTCCCCCATCACCTTTATACAACTGACAAAAAGAAAGAGTTACCTTTGAAATGACGTAATAGCAGTTGCACCTTTTGCTCATGTTCCTTTTGCTGAAGTGTCAGTCTCCGGTCACATTGCAATTTCAGATGTTCCAATGCAGATTCCAACTCACGAACCATATTATCCCGTTCCAGAACCTTCATTTTAATTTCTTCATTTTGTAACTGTTGTTTTCTTTCAGCTTCTCTCAAATTAACAACCTACCAAAGACATTTTTTTTTTTTTTTTACTTTTTAAGTGTAATTTAGATAGCCTAACCCAATAGACTAATCTACTTTTCTTGAGTTTCATAAAGATGAGCTTCTTTGGGGCTGGGGCATGTCTCAGTGGTAGCGCACTTGCTTGGCATGTGTGGGTACTGGGTTCAATTCTCAGCACCACATATAAATAAATAAAATAAAAGTCCATCAACAACTAAAAAACAATGTTTTTTTTTTTTTTTAAAAAAAGATGAGCTTCTTTAATCTCCACATTTTAAGTGCTTCCTGAAACATACTGGGTCCCTAGGCAACTACTTTATAACATATCCACAAAATAATATAATAGTTGGGCTGGGGTCATAGCACAGTGGTACAACAATTGCCTAACATGTGTGAGGCACTGGGTTCAATTCTCAGCACCACAGATAAATTAAAAAAAGAACAAATGAAAGTCCACTGACAACTAAAAATTTTTTTAAAAAGTAATCTAACAGTCTTCTAAATGTGTCGAAATTCTGAATTGGTAATGCTTTCATTTTATTTTTTTATTTTTTCTTTAAATATTTATTTTCTAGTTTTCGGCGGACACAACATCTTTGTTTGTATGTGGTGCTGAGGATCGAACCAGGGCCGCACACATGCCAGGCGATCATGCAACCGCTTGAGCCACATCCCCAGCTCCTCATTTTATTATGTCTTTCTAATAATCACCCCTTCAAAACTTTTTAATTCCCTACTTTAACCCCAAAATGGATGTTATGAATAAGTGGCAGAATTTTTAAACTATAAACAAAGAGATTCAGTTTCAAGCTTGTATATCATCTGTTGGGTTCTTTTTTGATATGAAGTAAAAATACTTCAGACACAACGTTAGTATCATAGAACTTGTCGATAATTTAATGACATCCTCACCAGAACAATACTATTTCTACAAAGGATCAGAAAATCCACTGATCTTGGCTAGAGTATCTTGGGGTAAGAACTCTTGCTTCAAGGGTAGCCTAGGACAGTCCTCCATTATTTTCTGCCCTCCAAACACGAAAAAATAGAATGCACTCTCATCAGTAACAATAGTTTACTACTGACTGATTATCCACAAAGAGATTGTATATAACATTTTCATCTTTATTTCATACAATTAGAACTTTTAAAAACTTCAATGTTTTGTGTTCACCAACTATCTGATATTCCCATAAACTGAACAGACTTTTCAGAGAYAAGAATTATCTAACCTGCCATACTATGTATTTATTTATTTTTAATTATTATTTTTTTTTATCTCTGGAGATTTAAACCCAGGACCTTGTGCATGCTAGGCAAGTGCTCTACCACTGAGCTATATCCCTACCCCTGTAATATATATCTTAAGTGAAAAAGATATTAGAGAAATGATGTGATGGTTCTGAATGCTGTGAAACACCTCTGGATCACTAAATTGTCCGATTCATATAAAATATTTTAATTGATTTAAGCACATTCAGGTTAATAAAATCTATTATTGTCTTTGCCATTGATGCATCACTTCATCTCCGTTTCAACTCACACATTATTCAAGAAAGTACAGGTTTACCTTGCCCTATAGCATTGAAGGAACTAAAACTCAGAGAGACCTTTATTTTTCAGGAATGCTGCATAGCAACATCCAAATCTGGAACCAAAAAATAATAAGGAAGTTTGGTTTTTAAAACTATATCAAAGAGGCCTTCTATTGAAAGGCCCTACAACTATAAGCACCTCACAAAGGTAAGCTTACAAATTTGGATAATCACAAAGTTTCAGATGACAACATTCAGTAGTATAAAGAGAAAACATGYTTAAGTATGTAATTACACCATCAAATCTTTCAGTCTTTCAGTTTCTTTAAAAATTCAACATAAATATGGGGAACCTATTGATAAGATAAATACTGTTCTTCCAAAACAATACCTTATTGAAATATCTGAAAAGAATAGCTCTAATTTCAACAGGATTCAGGCAACTTAATTTTTCCAAAACATTTGCTTCACTATGAGAAAGATTTTGTAGTGATGCTCTAAGCAAATTCTGGCGACTCTGGATACTTTCATTCTTGTATTCGATTGCAGCTTCCAAAGCTTCAATTCCTTCTTCAAGCTGGAAAAGAACATGTTCTTCCTAGATATAATACAACAGAAATCACTCATTTAAAATGAAATACTAAAACCTGGACTTTGTCATATACTCAGATCTTACTATACAATTYGAGTTTAATGGACATTACTGCTCTTTTACTATATATTTTTAGAAATATTTATTTTTTAGTTGTAGTTGGACACAATACCATTATTTATTTATTTTTATGTGGTGCTGAAGATCGAACCCAGGAACTTGCACATGCTAGGCGAGCACTCTACCACTGAGCCACAACCCCAGCCGTTTTACTATGTTTTAATAAAATAATGTTTGAGTGGAGTATGGTAGCACAACCTGTAATCCCAGTGGCTCAGGAGGCTGAGACAGGAGGACCACGAGTTCAAAACCAGCCTCAGCAAAAGTGAGGTGCTAAGCAACTCAGTGAGACCCTGTCTCTAAATAAAATACAAAATAGTGTTGGGGATGTGGCTCAATGTTCAAGTGCCCCTGAGTTCAATACCCAGTACCCCTCCCCCATAATAATAAGAATGTTTGAGTTTTGTTATGCCATACGATACTGTGTATGTGTGTGTGCATGTATATAAAACATATAATCATTGAGTCTTTACAGTAAATCTTGTATAATAAAATGGAATTGTTTAGGTGAGTACTATAACATTCCAAGGTCATACAACAAACGCAAATCACCTAATCAAAGGAATARACTGGAAGGCCTCAGTCCACAGAATTAGCAGTTCTGTCATCTTCCTCCACCATTCCTACAGTTGCAATTTATATATATTGTCACTAATGAGATCTAGAGACCCTTGTTGTCCCTCTAACGACCTTTTAAAATAATATACTGCTAGGAGAGAAATAAGAAATAAATTTAGAATAAATTATTAAGAACTAGGAATAATTGGGGATTAGCTCAGTGGTAGAGTACTTGCCTAGCATGGGCAGGGCCCTGAGTTCAATTCCTAGTTCTGAAAAAGAATTAGGATATCAAAGGAAAGTCTCTGGAGGGAAAATAATAGTATGGCTTAACAAAGGTACTAAAGATTTAAGGACATGAAACATTTCATAAGATGCCTATGAAAAATACAGGCATTAAAAATAGTGAGAGCAGCCAGTGCACACCTATAATCCCAGCGGCTCTGGAGGCTGAGAGATTAAGAGTTCAAAGATAGCCTCAGCAAAAGCAAGGTGCTAAACATCTTAATGAGACCCAGTCTTTAAATAAAATACAAAATAGGGTTGGAGATGTGGCTCAGTGGCCAAATATTCCTGAGTTCAATCCCTCCTCCTCCTCCCTGAAAAAAAAATGGTGGAAGTGTATGATATTTTTTCACGTATCAGAGAAAATTTCCTTTGTAGGAAAAAAATAACAAAACAATGACTCCCTGTATGAAAATTATCCAGTTCTTTGAACTATCCAAATACATGTTATTGGAAGTGGAGGGAATACAAATTTCTGATAAGAAATTATGTGAGATTTGTGAGACCTGGATATGTTCCTGTATTCCTATACTGTTGTAGAGGTCAAATTTCATAAACTAAATTCCAGATGGTAGATTGTCCTATACTTGTATCCTTACTGTGAGCACAGTACCTACCACATAGTTTAAACTCTGGAAGTGTCTCCTGAATGAGTTAATGGAGAGGAAAAATTATATTTTCATATGTCTTTGGCTGTTTTTTCCTACTCTGCCCCTCAGCATGACAAAGGAAAATAATGTGAATATTTCCGGTCTACCAAAGGATAGAGTGACTTCTGGAAGTTCATTTTAGGAAATTGAAGAAACAGGTATGTAATAACATAGTCTAGTGGGAGGTTGGATAATACTTATTTTTAAAAGCCCATTTTATAAACTATTCTGGAAAAATATTTTCAATATTCTCTTTCTCTTTGTAATMACTAACCATCAGGAATTCAATGATTTCATAATTGTTCCAAAAGGAACAAATAATATTCATAATAATATTAATATTTAAAAAACTTTAAATAATGAAACTTTTTTAAAATGTTTTTTTTGTAGTTATAGATGGAGAGAATGCCTTTATTTTATTTGTTTATTTTTATGTGGTGCTGAGGATCAAACCCAGTGCCTCATGCTTGCTAGGCAGGCACTCTACCACTAAGCTACAGCCCCAGCCCAAATAATGAAACTTTTGAGTAAGCACTGAAATATGTATCTTTCTCTATAAATTAAACGAATGTTCTAGGYATAAAACATAATTCTAAGAGTGAATTATCCAAAGAATATACTGGACTTTTAAATTTATACTGTGATTATATTTTACCAAATGCAAATGTTAAAGAGTTTGCCTGTATATATAGCTGTGGACAATTTAGTATAAATTTAGTTTCTGGTTTTGGAACTAAGAAAATGCAGAGCTAATATAAAGTATTGACTTCATATAAAGTATGATTTCAGAGATGTGAGGATAGCCCACTCTACTGAGCCCACAGCTTATAAGTGGTGGTTTTCYCTAATTTAGCAAAGATGTAGGTTGGTTGACAAGATAAGTTTCCCATGAAACTCTTCTGGGATGAAAAATTTACCACAACACAAACCACAAATTACTGAAAGTTGACTGTGCTTTACAAAGTACACTGCTTTTCAAACTTTAATGAACAACAAGAACTCSGTTACAATTCAAACTCTGATTCAGCAGATTTGGGTGTGGCCTGAGGATCTGTACTTCAAAGAGGCTCCCCCATGTGATGCTGTTGCTGCTAGTTCAGAGACAAGCAATAAGGACCTAAAGTAGTGGTCTGCAAACATTCTGGATTACACATCCCTATCAGCAGAAAATAAAACAAAAAGCTAACAAAAACTTTTGAGTAAGCACTGATATATGTATCTTTCTCTATAAATTAACAAATGTTCTAAGCATAAAACATGAAATTGAATGTTTAAAAGATGAAATAAACATAATAATTCTTATATTTTTTCCTGGATCCCACTTACTTAGTAGGCAACAAATAGCTCTGTACTATTAGAAAACTGGAGTTTCAAATAAATAAATAAATAATAAAAAAAGAATGTCCTTCAAACCCCGCCCCCCAAAAAAAGAGAGAGAGAGAGAAAAAAAACTGGAGTTGCCAGGTGTGGTGGTGCCTGCCTGTAATCCCAGCAGCTCACGGGGCTGAGGCAGGAGGATCTCAAGTTCAAAGCCAGCTCTAACAACTTAGCAAGACCCTATCTCTAAATCAAAATATTTTTTAAAAAGGGCTCGGGGCTGGGGTTCAGTGGTTAAGTGCTCCTGAGTTCAATCCTTGCTATCATAAAGAAAGAAAACTGGAGTTTATCCTGCCATCTGCAGCAACATGGATGGAACCAGATGACTATTAAATACGCAAAGCACAGAAAGAAAAATATTGAACATTAACATTCATTTGTGGAAACTGAAAACTGATCATACAGTACCTGTCACTGTATGTTAGGAAGGGTAAGTAGGAGAGTTGACTAACAGATACCAAAATACAGTTAGATATGGGAATTAGTTGTAAGTTTCCTTAGATCACAGTATGATACTTAGCCTACAATAATTTATTATCAATTTGAAAATAACTAGAGGAGATATTATAATATTTGAGACGTAAATGCTAATTATACTGATTTGATAATTGCACATTGGATTCATGTAGAATAAATATAATATTTATTCATTTGTAAATAAGAATATGAGAAAAATAAATATGCACCAAATAAAACAGAATAAACTAGAGTTCAAATATTCTTTTTTTAAAATTTTAGTTTCTGAATTTCATAAAAAAAAGGGACATGATCTGTCCTTAGTAAATTGTTAGGTAATCCTCTATTAATACAGTGATCTATTAGTAAAGTAATACAATTAGAAAAAACATTTTAATTTATTGTGGAAAGAGAAAATAATTTTAAGTAAGTTTAAAGACATCAAGATAGCAAATCATTCCACCTAGATTTTACTGGTCTTGTGTTACTTTAAAAATCTCATGTTTCTAGTCATCTMCTACTGGCAGATCTATTTGGGAATATTAATCTTGATTTTCAAATAGTGGTAAGAGCAGAGCCAACTTCAGAGCTAAACTAAGGAGAACAACCATGCAAGGAAAAAGTATACAGGAGTTCTCAAGACTAAATGGAACCCTAACAATTGTGGGAGGCTTATCACTCCCTCAAACTAATCCAGAATAGCTGCTAATCAGGTATTATGTATGGTGCTATATTTTCACCACAGATCCATAAATAGTTTTGTTTCAGAACTTCACATGAAATAGAAGCCTCAATGTTTCTTGATAAGAGACCTCTACTCTTCTCCAAACATAATTTGCCTATTCTCATCACTGTGTCTTATTTAACAATGTTCTGTCTAAACTGGACTTCTGTCTTATATCTCATAGTACGTGTCATGTTTTTTTTGTTTGTTTGTTTTTTAAGTTRTAGGTGGACACAATACCTTAGTTTGTTTATTTATTTTTACCAGGTACTGAGGATCAAACCCAGTGCCTCACATGTGCTAGGCAAGTGCTCTACCACCGAGCTACAGCCCCAGCCCATGTCATGTTTTTTTAAAAATCCAGCTCAAAATCCACCAAGACTGCCTTACTCCATCTTCTCACAAACCATCACTGCACTGCTTTGCATAAATAATGTAATGAGGATAGCTTAACTACGTTATCCGTAACATGCTTTTTTAATGTTCTTTGGAGTTTAACATTTCTACCTCTGGAGAATTTTTCTTATATTTCTATCTCTTTATGAATTTCTCAAGGGAAGCATGATACTTTCTACTTTTCTTATTTCCTTCATGGGCCCACTAGCAGTCGTGGATCAGCAAAATTCCTTATATACTTAATGTTTTGCTGCATACTTTGCTCTCACACTTTCAAATCTAGGGCTCCAATTTAACTRCTTAGGAGGACAGCTAGGTTCTGTGAGCCTCTGCATAGCTACCTAAGGTAAGTTATAAAACAGGGCAGTAGAAGTAGATAATATTCCTCCAATCAAGTTAGTTTTAATTACTTGCATCAATTCAGTGAACAATAGTCTAATTTCATGCTGCCCTTTCTCCTGTTTCTTCTTCACTAGTCCCCTTACTTCCTCTTTCTTGCCTCCAATCTAAAACATGACAAAAGTCAACAAAGCATGTAATTTCCAGCAACTTAATATAATTTTCTCTTGCTTTGATAATGACAGGACATAAATAATAAGTAATTGCAGATGACTGGTGTTGTGGCTCAGTGGTAGAGTGTTCACCTAGCACATGTGAGGCACTGGTTTTGATCCTCAGCATCACATAAAAATAAATAAATAAAAAAGTTATCATGTCATCTACAACTAAAAAAATATTTTAAAAAAAAACAATTGCAGGGCTGGGGTTGTAGCTCAGTGATAAAGCGCTTGCCTTGCACACGTGGGGCCCTGGGTTCGATCCTGAGCACCACATAAAAATAAATAAATAATAATAAAGATATTGTGTGTGTATATATATATATAAACAACTGCAGTGAAAATCAGGCTCAAAAATTCACCTCTGTCCAATAAAGTAAGGTACAGGGATCATATCAACTGAAATAAAATTTTTTAAAAAGATGTTAGTCTGGCTGGGTGTGGTGTGACATGCCTATAATCCTAGCTATTTGAGAGACTAAGGCAAGACTTGATATTTTCAAGTCACAAGTTTGAAGCCAGCCTTAGTGAGACCCTGTCTCAAAATAAAAAATAAAAAATAAAAATTGGGGATGTAGTCAAGTGATAGGGTTCAATTCTCACCATACTATGAATAAAAAGATAATAAAATAAAATACATAGTCCTTGACAATTTGATAGCCAATGAATGAATCATCTTTATATAGTTCTTAAAAATGGAGGTGAGAGGAGTCATATGTTCTGCTAAATAAAAACTATAACAAAAGATATTTTACTAGGATTTGAATKTCTCTATTTGTTCAGACATAGTGTAGAATATGCTCTCAAACATCAGTCCTTTCTCAACCAAGCTTCCATGGAAAAAATTAACCTTTGTTTTTATTTCTTTTTATTTTTAAAATTTTTTGATGCATTATAATTTATATATAAGTTGGATTAATTACTTAATTAATTACTTCCCTAGTAGTGGGATTCATTATTAACATATCTGTAAGAATTAATCCTTAAGGTCGTATTATCATTTACATTCATAGAGAGAAGGCAGGTGCCCTTCTTGGAACAACTGAGAAAAGAGTCCCTCAAATCATATTCTTTGTTCTGTGATTTCAGATGAAAAACCCCAGCTGAAAAGGTCACACTCAAGGACAATATAATTTCCTAATGCCTGGCAATGGCAGGAAGGGACACATTCATGGAACACTATATAAGAACATCTGTTTCTAGTCAAGCATGATTTATGGTGCCAAACAGATGCCAGATGAACTCATTAAAGCTGACAAAGTCTCAAGAAAGCAATGTTTACCAGATTTATCATTTTTATGATTGTAAGAGAACAAGGAAGTCACCCAAGTCATTCATCATCATACAGCACTTCCAGTTCCAAAGAATACTGACTTACGTCGGGTGATAGCACTCTACCATTTTTAACTTTTTCATCCACACTGTTTCTTCGACTCTGGAGCTGATCCTTTTCTTTCTGGAGGGCTTGAACTTGTTCTGAAATCCTTATTTTCTCCTCGGCTGAGCTGCTCTGGAGTTGAATACTCTTTTCACATAACTCTTGGTCCAACAAATTCAAGCGACTTGATATTTTCAAACTATCTGCGTTTAAGGCCTAAAAAGACACAACCCCCAGATATCCCAAAAACAGTTACCAGAAATCCACACTACTTATAAAGTAGGAAAAACAGAGAAATTACTTAATGAACGCATTTTTAGCTTTCACATTATTATTTTCTCCCATGGATTTCTTTTGGAGGGTCATTATCTAAAATCTTAAGTTGAATGCCTTAAAAAAAATGAATTTACTACCAAGATTACCTTGGCTAGTGTTTTTCCTTTTTATTATTTTCTTAATTGAACTTTTCTTTCTTAGTTTCTTTTTTTTAATACTTATATTTTAGTTGGACACAATACCTTTATTTTGTTTATTTATTTTTATATGGTGCTGAGGATTGAACCCAGGGCCTCACACSTGTTAGGCGAGCTCTCTACCGCTGAGCCACAACCCTAGCCTTTTCTTAGCTTCTTATATTGTAGAATTGCTACAATTTCCTAGAGGTTGAGATTTGATGTATGGGTAATGTACAATTTGTTTTTTT